GGGTCGACAAAAGAGGGGGAGGCCTTCAGGGAGATGGATTGATACAGTGGCTGCGATGATGGGCTCGAGTATAGCATGGATTGTGGGGCTGGTGCGGGATCGGGCAGTGTTTCATTCTGCTGTGCATGGGGTCACTATGAGTCGGAAACGACTCGATGGCACTTAACGACAACAACATAACAACTGGTAGCCTAGTGCCTAAGGCACTTGACTGCTAACCAGAAGGATGGTGGTTCAAACCCACCAGCCACTTCTCAAAAGGAACATGGGGCAATCTACTTCCGTAGTGATACTGCCTCGGAAATGCAAGGAGGGGTCGCTATGAGTCGGGTCCAACTCGAACAGCACATAACAACAACAACAACAATATATGTCATAAATAGACTATTAAGCATAACCCAAAATGCAGAAACTGCAGAAGAGAAACTAGATGATTGTGACCTTCTAAAAGTTAAATTTTTCTGTGCTTCCAAAGACTTTTCCAAAAGAGTCAAAAGAGAACCTACAGATTGGGAAAAAATATTTGGCAATGACATGTCTGACAAGTCCTTACCTCTAAAATTTATAGAACACACCAACACCTCAATAACAAAAGGATAAACAATCCAATTTAAAAATGGGCAGAAGACATGATCAGATACTTCACTAAAGAAGATACTCAGGCAGCCAACAAACACATGAAGAAATGTCCACGATCATTAGCCATCAGAGAGATGCAAAGCAAAACAACGAGATACCATCTCACCCCAGCACTAACAGCAAAGTTCAACAAGACAGAAAACAAATGCTGGCGAGGATGTGGAGAGATTGGGACTCTCATACACTGCTGGTGGGACTGTAAAATGATACAACCAATGTGGAAAGCAGTATGGTAATTCCTTAAAAGACTGGAATTAGAAATACCATTTGACCCAGCAATCCCATTGCTAGGTATATATCCTAAAGACATGAGAGCCAGGACAAGAACAGATATATGCACAGCCATGTTCATCACAGCATGATTCATAACAGCAAAGAGATGGAAACAACCTAAGTGCCCAGCAACATAAGAATGGATAACCAAACTATGGTACATACACACAATGGAATACTATGCAACAGTGAAGAATAACACAGAATCTGCAAAACACTACATAACATGGATGAACTTAGAGGACATTATGCTCAGTGAAATAAGTCAATCACAGGACAAAAAAGTATTAGTTCATTATTGTAAAAAGTCAAGAAAAGAAAAGGTTTATATATGGAAGATAGCTTTCTTTGTTGGTTACCAGGGATGAGCGGGGAGGGGAAGGAACACTATTAGACAGGTAGAGACAAGTATTGATCTGGGTGAAGGGAAGGGCAATGTACTAAAAGTGAGTGATCAACACGGTGGCATTGAGGAAGAGGAAGACATAGAGAGGAGCATGGGAGGTACAGACAACAAAGATGAACTCGTTTGCATGTACAGTACTATGTTGTTAATGACGGCAAGCAATGATCCAAGAGTGGACAGATGAGTGAATGATCAGGCATGTTCAGGCAGGGGAGAGTGTGCCCACAACCGTGTACAGGGTTGGCAGATAATGTTACTACACGTGCATTTGTATGCGCTATATGGGAATGTCTAGGTGTCCAGTAGAGCTGACAAGAGACAAGGCTGTGGTGGTTTCTTGGCCACAGCCAGCTACTCGAAGGGAATGAGTAGCTGGACCTGTGGGCTTGGGACCAGGGTTGCAGGGGACATAAACCTCAAATGGCATAACATACTACACAAAAAACATTGTTCCACATTCTCCTTTGGTGAATAGCAACTGGGATCTTAAAAGCTTGCAAACGGCCATCTAGATGCAACGATGGGTCTCTCCTCATCCAAAGCAAAGAATGTAGAAAATTAAAGACACATGGAAACAATTAGTTCTAGGGACTGGCAGATCATGCAATCCTTAGCCTGCTCAACCATGAGACCAGAAGAACTAGATGGTACCCAGCTACCAATGTAAATCACTTGGAAAGGGCTTAGTGCAAGAGATCCTGGAAAGAGTGGAAGAACAATGTGGAACAAAACTCAAAATCATAAAAAAAAAGACCAGGTTTGCTGATCTGGTAGAGCCTGGTGAGACCCCTAAGACTATGGCCTTTAGGTGCCCCCTTCAGGTCTGGAACTAAACCCATTCCTGTGGCTTCCAGCCAAACAAAAGACAGGCATATGGGGTGAACATTTACGTTAGGTAGATACACTGCTTGGAGCTATCAATCGTGGGAGAACAGAAGGGCAGTGTTTGCACAGGCAAACAGCTCAGGGGGCAGGAGTATATGAGAGGGAAGGACACAGGGAAGAGGCAGCTACTGGGAGGAAGTGGAAAGACAGCTGTTACATCAGGGGAATAGCAGTCAGTGTCTTGAGACAAAGTATGTATGAACTGCTGTATGGGAAATGAATTTGCTCTGTAAACTTCCACCCAAATCACAATAAAAATTTAAATAATAATAAAAGATACAAACCAAATCAGTATATGGACTTTATTTGGATCCTGAATAAAGCCAAGTGTATAAAGATATTTATGACACAATCCAAGAAATTTCAATACTCCTGGATTTTAGATAATATTCAAGAATTACTACTGATTTGTCTATATATGGTCATAATATTGTGGTTGTTTTAGAAAGGGAGAAATTAAAACTTAGATTTATTCTAAAGTATTTATGAATAAAATTTTACAGTATCTAGAATTTAAAATAATCCCGTGGTGGGGATGGGATGGCGAAAGCCCATCAGGCGATGACTGCTAAAACTGGGTGAGAACACTGGGGTTCAGTGTCTAGTTCTGTCTTAAATGTCTTACATAGATTTTTAAGTTCCACAATAAAAAGTTTAAAAATATCTAGTACACATACACTATAAAATTTTAGTTCAACAAAGGAATTAGAATATGCTTTTGATTATTTTTGTTTTATAATTTGACCAAACTACCTTCCTGAATTATTAACAAAGTATTACATTTTGTTTCATACTAAATGGATTCCAGAGAAACAGAACCAAATTATAATGATTCCAACTCCGAGTACCTAATAGGGGTTGGTATTTAATAAAGAAATACTAGCGGGAAGTTGGGGCCAGGGCTTCAAGATCCTGTTTGAAGTAGTTACACTCAGTGACGATCGAAGATACACTGTTTTCCCATTCCGACTCGCTTAAAAACAAACAAACAAATGAAAAATCACTGTGGTGGGAACTTACAGTAAGTTAAGAGACAAAACTTTCGAAGAGTTACAATTTATTCTCCAGGACTAAACTATGACTCCCTGCCAGGACAGATGACCACCTCTGGAAAAAAAGCATGACTACGAAAAGGGACCCAGTGGTGTCGGAGGGATCAGAACACTGAAGTGCTGGGAACAGGAAGCCTCAGAGACAACAATGAAATAAACACTACACCTATCCACAGGTCGCCGTGGCAACAAGCAGACCCTCAGCAACTCTCTTGCAGGGCCCAAGAATGTAACGTGGCAGTGTTCATGTCTGATGCTTCTGTACATTTTTGACCCCTTCTAAAAGCTGGCTTCAAAGAACAATGATATATCTTCATATATCAGTATGACGAAAAAGTATTTTAAGACGCTTCACTTTAAGGTATTCAGAGTTAAAACCTCCAACCTGGTTGAAGGTGATCAAATTTCTCTGTAGGAAACGCTTTCTGAGTGAGTACTAGTAACTGATCCTGTAAGTCACAAAGACATACTCCTCACACGTCTTTTGAGACACAGTCTTTCTGCCTAGAGAGGGGCAATTCCCACAGGGAGATTCCTCTCCCCTATAGCATTTGTTACACCAAACCAACTGCCCACCCAACCAATCAATCACTCGGTCTTCAGAATTAGGTGGTACTGGGTTTCTAGGAACTCCCAACCATCCCTTATCACACAGTTTCCAGCTTTCACTGAACTGGGAAAACAGTGTAAATCGTATGTGAAAAGGGGTCTCCCGACTTTCTCTGATCACCTAAGTGAACACTGATGTGACGTTACCACACTGACTCTTCCTCAGGACATGTGGTGGTGAGGTATGAGGGACAGGATCCCTTGAGAAGCCAAGGCTGTGGTGGGGGTGGGGTGGAGGAGGGTCTGCAGTCGACAAGGTTGCTTCTGACTAAGAGCCCAGACACCCTCCCCTGTTGACACCTGAACCCTTTGGATTTGTGTCCAGTGAGGCCCTAGCACTGTACCTTCAGGAATGCTTCCTTCTGTTCCAAGTGCTTGCTGATCATCGGTGTGACGTGGTCCGTCTCAGAATTGGGCCCCAGCTTGTCAGCTCCTCCACACCAGTCTTCCTCTCTCTTGTACTCCTGCTCCAGGCTCTCAAGGACACTGCAGACCTGTGAGCAGAAGAAAGTTCCAGGCTCAGAAACCACGTGTCATCTAACGCCTCAGATCTGCCTTTTTAGGAAGCATGTGTAGTCAGGCCATGGGGATATAAAAGTGTTGCCAAAGAACTAAGAACCTGAGAAGGGCTGTGGGCTCTATATGAACAGAACCAAAAGTCAAACCCATTACCACTGAGTCAAATATCTATTCATCCTAGTGACCCTACAGGACAGAGTACAACTGCCCCATAGGGTTACCCAAGCCATAAATCCTTCCAGATGCAGATGGTCTCATCTTTTTTCCAGCAGAGCAGCTGGTGGGTTTGAACTGCTGACCTTTTGGTTAAGAGCCGAGTACTTAACCACCTGCACCATGAGGGACCTGGGCTCTACCTTACTTGAGGACAAATGCACAGGCTGAAGTAGGCAGGCCTTCCAGAAAAAGAGCACAGAAGGAGCTGACGTTCTCTCTCACACATTTTCCCGGCCTTACAGTCAAGGAGAGAAAAAGGTGTACCTTCATCACTTTCCAATCTACTGTTTTCTGGTACCTATAACCCAAAACCAAACTGGCTGTCGTCAAGCGGATGCCAACTCACAGTGAGCCCCTACGTGTCGGAGCGCAAGTGCTCCGTCGGGCTTCCAATGGCTGGTTGTTGGGAAGTCGATTGCTAGGCATTCTTTGCAAGGCAGTTCTGGGTGTGGCTGAAGCACTAACCTCTCGGTTCGTGTCAAGCACCAACTGTTTGCACCACCCAGGCAGCCCAAGGTAAGTGACAACAACGTAACCTCCAGAATGCTGCTTTTGCCTGCTTGGCCTGGAACTGACTTGCTCATCACTGACGGATAAGTCAGCAGTAACCTAACCAGGAAGACTCAGCTCAAAACAAAAAGGTCAGCGGGCAGCCCAGGAGAGGAGCCTGCTCTCGCCTGCTCCGAGGTTTTGTAGAAGGCGACCGACGCGTTGACGAGCTTGAGGCGGTCTTCCATCTTGAGCATGAGCTGCTGCCAGTGGGAGGCCACCTTCTCGGCACAGTCCCTGATCATGTCCATGTCGTAGTGATTGGCCTGCAGCATGGCCTCGGCCTTCTGCTGCACCTGTAGTGCACTCTGATGCGTTTTCTAAGGAAAGAGAAAGAAAACGCACATTCAACAAGGGTCTCTCCAACATACTGAAAAAGATCTGGGATGGTGATGGTTCTCCGTTCTTGATTTTACAGAAACAACTGCAGCTAACACTCACTAGAACGCATCTAAAAACATAGCAGACAGCTCAGTAAAAGAGATTCTATGGCTAACAACAGTGCTATAGCACTGTTTATATTTAACCCTTTCACAACCCATAGGACATACAGTGTCCATCTATATTTTCTGCCTCTAGCAAGGGTTTATGCTGAAAATACCATGGACTGCCAGAAGAACGAACAAAAATTCATAGTACTTCAAAAAACTTTTTCTTCATTTCATTCAAAATACTTTCCATTACTGAAAACATGGTTTCAACAAAATTTTCAAAGCCAAAGATAATTTGGTCTCTGAAGGGTTAAATGATCTAACAAAGGATGAAATGCATTAAGAACTTCCAAAATGAATCCAGCTGGGGGTCCTCTGCCTGAGAACCAGCAGATCAGAACCTAACAAACACAAGGAGCTGTGGAATTGCTCCTGGTTCATCACACCGACCCACCCTTCTCGTTCGAGCCACCTGTGTCACAGGTACAAGGGGAGACAAAGGCCAGCACACCTGTTCCACTCTCATTTCAACTTAAAACTTAGACGCAATTCCAGCCCAACAATGTATAGGCATGTGAGTTAAACGTTTAACTCAAGTAGACACACGCCCTGGAGAGAACAATCATGGGAGAAGAAGGGCTGCTTATGCACAGGGAGACAGCTCGGGGGCAGGAGAGTATGGAGGGATGGACACTGGGAAGTGGTAACTATGGGGAGGAAGTGGGAGGGGAGCTGTTGCATTGTGGTAAACTGTGATCAATGACATGCGACAAAATATATGTGAACTGTTGTATGGAAAGTGAATTTGCTCTGTAAATCTTCACCCAAATCACATTAAAAAAAAAAACAAAAAACTTAAGACACGAATGCAAAGTTCTCAAGAAGTACTGATTTTAAAGAGAGAGGAATTAAATAAAAGTTTATTTAAATGTGTTCTCTGAGGTTCACAGCCTATAACAAATCTATCAAAATCAAAATAACAAATCTATTTAGTGTTTCTACTCCTTTATGCACAAGAGCTAGTGAGGGGCCGAGGGTCACATTTTCTTCCATGAAGAGCCAGAATGCCTGCGGGAGTGGTCAGAGTCTCAACAGACATAGTTTTTTTTTAAAAAAAAAACAAAAGCAAAATCTTGCCTATTCTTTGAAAAAGGACTAACGACCCCATCACCACAGCCCATGACGCAGACCCATCCAACAGCAGCGATCTGTGCTGTGCACAGTGATCTCGTGACACAATCACTGGACAAGAGCAGTTTCCAGAATACAAAGCCCTCCAGCCCCAGGGACAAGAAGTAAAGTGTATTCACCGGCTCAAAGGAGTTGAAAATAAATTAATCAAGAGTATAAAGTAACAGTACTTTCGGTGGCTTTCTTCTCTGGCTGATACATACGTGAGCAAAGCAAGAAGCAAGGGGTTTGCTGGAACTAAGTGCTGTTTTGTCCCCTGGCTTGACACTGAGCCCACCCATCACAGTTCTTCTTCTTTCCCCTTCCCAACAAAAGAAACCCCTAATGGTAACGGATCTGCACTATGTGAGCATTGCCGGGCACAGGCCCGGGACTGGCCTGAGCTGTGTGGCTGAGGTCCTGCACTGCAGTGAGTCCTCATGGAGGCCTGAGCTGTACTGATGGACAGCGCAGCTCATAACCAAGGGTCGGTGGAGCTTTGTGTCAGCACTATCACTGCTAACGGCGTTTCTTGATTTGAGCATCATATGGAGGAGAGCCAGGGGGCTGTGCTTCCTTGAGATTGGTTAAAACCCACTGCCATCAAGTCAGTTCTGACCTATAGTGACCCTAGTGGACAGAGTAGAACTGCCCCACAGGTTTTCCAAGGCTGTTAATTTTTATGGAAACAGACTGCCTCATCTTTCTCTTGCAGAGCAGCTGGTGGGTTCGACCCACTGACCTTTTGGTTAGCAGTCCCATTCTTTAACCACAGCACCACCAGAGCTCCTTTCAGACTAGTTACATACTTGGAATATGCCTACAAGATGGCAGAAGGGAAAGAAGCTTACGCCAAGACTCCGTCTGGCTCTCGGGTTCCGAGGTGTTCCACCTGGGCCCTTACAGCAGAAGACCCTAGGAGTCTAGTCATGGACCCAGGACTGGAAGACACATCCTCCTTCAATGTAGCTGCTAACTTCCTGTCCTAAACTGCAGACCCGCAAGCTCTGCCACTCTGGGTCCTGAGAGTGAGGTGCCCACAGCGGGGAACCTGGCAGGCCGGCCCTGGGGCTGCGCAGAGGCCGGACCTAGCGCCTTACCTCAATGGCATGCTGGAACTGTTCGTGCTCCCTCTGCAGCTGCTCTGCCTCCTGCAACGAGCTGGCTGTGATGAGGCCAGCATTCAACATGGACTCGCCATTGCGGATCCAGCCCAGCACCTAAAACACGACACAGGGTGACTCCAATGTCCTCAGTGCATCCTGTGGGCCACAGCGACCAGGTATTTGTCCTCAAAGTGGCCCAGCTGCTCCTGTCAGCCAGAGTTTCGTATCCTACAGACAACGCCTTCTACCCCTCGAAGGCATCTGACCACGAGTGTGGCAGTTTCTTTAACTGTCACTTGAACAGCGACTGGAGCTGGAAGACTGAGGGTCCAGGGGGTTGTCAGCGATTACTCACAGGTCACAACAGTTCAAGGGCGACATCCGAAAACCTACCAACACCAAGGCTTCCCTGGAAACCAGGAAGATGGTTTACATTCTTGCCCAGCCCTAATGGACATACAAAATTAGCAGCCTGCTTGATGAGGGAACTATTTTATTTTACTCCACTAACATGGTTCCAATTTTACATCAGGGCTAACTGACATAATAACTGAAGTATGAATCTGTATTGCTCTGTTCAGGGTCCGACCACGACATTCTCAGCTTTACCCACAAAGGAAAGTCAATTCTGAGATTGGAGTCCATGGAAAGGGGCAAGGCCACACGGGGTAGTTACCTGTGGCAGGGAACACTACTAGTTGCCTGCCCAACACCCACTCTTCTCGCTTACCCAGAAAACTCCAACTTTTGGGAGGAGGAGCTTAGAAAACCACCCACCAAGCCCTATTACACCTCGGTCACACACACGACACAATTCTGGCCAATGAGGACCAAGCAGCCGCCTAGGGAGGATGCTACGCAAATATGTTTCCTGATAGAGCACTGCTTCTTGCTTGTTATCCTCTTCCCCTCCCTATTTCCCGGAATGCAGAGGTGATGGCTGGGACCACGGCAACCACTGGGAGCCAGGAAGGAAAGGCCACATATCACAGAGCCACTGAATGGGCACCAGACACTTTCCGCCTCCTGGCTCGTTACTTGAGAAAATCAATATTTGTTAAGCTGTGATTTTCAGTCTGTGCTGCTCCAGGCAAATGCAATGCCTAACAGATATATTCATTTATTCCTTTATTTTTTGAATGAATTGTGTTGTTTTTGGCACTACATTAACTAGTCTTTACAAGGCAGGCCCCAATACTTAATTCATTCAGGTAAAGAATTCTGACTTCACAATATACCTGCTTTAAGTGAGTGCCCCTCAACACCTCACTCATGGTCCAGGGGCACCTTAAGTATCCTCCAATCAAACCACGGTTTGCTCTCTGTCCATCTATGAGAGCATCACCAAGACCCCTCTCCCTGTCAGGCTAGCTCCATCAGGGTTTGCGGCCCTGCTCATGGGAGAAAACATCACGTACGCTGTAAACACCTATCCACCACACAATCCCATTGCCACTCGCTGAAAGCAGTCCCTTCCCACACTCTGATCTTAATTTCCAGGCCATTCTAGGATGTGCAATTAGCACAGCCTGATAACACAAGAAAAGCCCTCCACACACAGCCCATTATCCTGCCCAGATTAATGAAAGGTTGTTGTCGTTATGTGCCGTCAAGTCAGACCCAACTCATACTGACCCTTCCTTGGGTTTATGAGGCAGTATCAGTACCGAAGTAGATTGCCCAACCTTCCTTCTGGAGTAGTGGCTGGTGGGTTTTAACCGCCAGCCTTCTGGTTAGCAGTCAAGTGCCTTAGGCACTATGCTACCAGACCTCCTCGATGAAAGGTATGTATCCTGACTAAAATTCAGTGATTGAGTCTGAGAAGTAATACTTGGGGTTTCAACAAGAGACAACCAGTAAGAGAACACACTGAATGGAAGGCTCAGGGGTCATGTTACTCTCAAGTGCAAGACCTGCTGAGCTGTGAAGCCTTATCTACTACAGAGCAGACCGACAGCTCTCCAGTCCACTGTCAGATTTTACATGACAAGTATTAGCCTCTCTCTCACACACACACACACAGAGGTGACTCACATTATTCCTGTAACTATGAAGTCTCAGTGGATACTAAATTAGTTGGAGGACTCATTTCTTGCCACTCTGTGAATAACCATGAAACCACCACCAATACGGAATTTGGTTACAGATAAATTGCAGTGAGTAGGCGAATTTGCAAATGCGGAACCTGAAAATCATGCAAATCGGCTGTTTATACATGCACTGCGTGTGTGTGTATTAGACATGTGTTACCCTGGGACAGCTGGGTTCCGATCCAGGAAGTCACACATCAGATACCTGTAAGCGGGGCCCACCCCAGTCTCACGTGACACCCAGCAGTTTGCCTACCTGCTTCACTTCAGCCTGCAGGTGGCGGAGTTGAACACACTGCTCCAGGTGCTTCCGATGCTGCTCTGCCGCTAAATCCAGTTCCTGCTGCTTTTCATGAAGAAACTCCAGCAAGTCCTGGACCCTCGTGGCCATATCTACATCTCTATCGCAAAGCAGCTCCACACCTGCAGACATTGAACACAGACCCCAGGATGCAACCAGCACCCCAACCTGCTGTTCCTACATGGTGAGAGACATGCAGTTGTCTTCCGTCTCTGATCTGATCTGCCCAGCTGGGGGCCAAACCATCACTTTGAAGGTCAAGTACAAAGAGAGATGAGTGTGAGTTCACACTTGCCTCCCAACATGTGAGCATGTCTGGAAGAATGGCTTGACCTGCTTCAAAGACAAATATGATGGACAGCTAACCAACAGCTGACGGGACTGTGAAACCAAACTCCGAGCGTCCTATTACACAGCTGTATGCAAAAACACAAACAGTTCATTATATGTGTACTCCACTAAGTACACAGAAATCCATTAATCCTCAATCTTTTTCTTAAACAAAGAAGAGCTAAAAGGGCAAACAAAAAAATTCATTGGTCCTGATTAGAGACAGCCAGTGAACCAAACTTTATCTGAAAATTGGTAATTAAGGGAAAAAAACATTCATTCATACATTCAATGATGATGGAAATTTCCTTTTTATAGATAACCCAGCCATTGCATGAAGAAAAATAAAATTTAAAAATCACCTTTTTTTCAAATTCTAATATAGTAACTGTCGAATATATTGAAAACCATTGTGTTGGCTATTGAAAATGTGACGTCCTTTCTAAATAGTAAAGTTTGGTTTGCTTTTGAGTTCTCTGTACATTCAGTTTACTCTTCAATAAGCATTTTGTTTGAGTCAAGTGAGTGACATTGTATGTGGCTATTGCTAAGTGAGCTGCTAACACTTCAGCTGTATTGACAATTTGAGCCTACAGTGACACCTGCTGGTAGACTACAAACAAGAAAAAGTAAGTAAAGAACACAAAAATATTTTCTTGAAATTTGCATTTCATTCACATAAATAAAACAATGTATCATTTTGCAAAATTAAATTCATGCTAATTGAAATAACATATGAGACTATTAAGGACAGGTATACCAACCATAATGTTAAATGCAAGGAGCTCTGGTGGTGCAGTGCCTAAGGCACTTCAAACCCACCAGCCACTCCGCAGAAGGAAGACTGGGCAATCTAGTTCTGTAAAGATTTATTGCCTCAGAAACCCAAAGGGGGTCACTATGAGTCAGAATCGACTCGATGGCAGTGAGTTTGGTTTTGGAATGTTAAATGTGACTGAGCCATGTGAAAAATGTGTGCTGTTTCTTTTGAGATAAATTAGCCCTTACAGGACTAGTTTACCTCTGCAGTCAACACAGGGAACTCAACTGGGTGAACGCGGTGACGACTTGAAGAAACCACACCTGACCCAGGATGGCCAGGAAGCTCTTACCCGAGGCCTGCACTTCGTTGACGTACTGCAGAAGGTCCTGCCCTTGGTGGATGACATCAAAGGTTAGGTTGTTCATGGTCAGGGCTTTGTCTGCGTGGTGCTGGAGGCGCTGCTCGGCTATGGTGAGGTCTTCTGTGTCGAAGTCGTTCATTTGCTGGGAAAGCTCATCATTCCAGGACTCGAGGTCTGAGATGATCTAACAGAGGAGAGCATCTAAGGTCAAGACTGGAAAGGTCATAGCCGCCGGGCCATCCTCCCGTCCAGCACGTGAGGAGGAGCTGGAGGGGAATGGGTCAGTAGGACACAAAGCCAGGGGGAGGGGTTCCTGCTGCCCACAGTGAGGCTGAGCCACAAAGAGGAATGTTTGCAACAGAATGAAACACACGGAGTATATGCAACTCCGTTAACTCTCAGTTGTATGCATATATTTTGTAGTAAAAGAAGAAACAAAAAGACAGAAAAATAACAAATTCATTTTCCCCGATTACAAAAAGCCAGGAAACCAACCTTCATACTGAAAATTGATAATTAAGGGAGAAAGTGATTCACTTAAGCATTTAATGGTGAAGGAAATCTCTTCTTTATTGATGAACCTGGCTATCGCATGTAGAAAGAGTAATAAAATTTTAAAGCCACATTTTTCAAATTCTAAGGAAATAACGAGTTCAGGCAGCTATCATCATGTATGGTAAAGCCCCATGAGAAGGCTGCTGGGAACTTACCAGTAGGAGGGGCAGGTGGCCAGCAGATGAATACAAAAATCAGTGTCAGCAGCACCAGAGAAGTGGGACACAGACACGATATGCCTTCAGGGATGAAGGAGGATGCAGATGGCCCCACTGATGGTACACGCTTGCAAAACACTGAACCTGAATCTAATCAGGTCTCTCCAACTAACATCTAAGCTTACAGGAAGTACTGGGTAAAGACAAACAAGTTAAACTAAAAGCAAGTATTCACACAAATACAAACTGAGATGGAGACTCAGTTTCTTGAACAATTAACCTGGTTACTTCAACTAGTCACAGCAGGGAAACAAAGAGGAAGGCAGCAGAAAAGAGTCTGGATTAAGAGGCTGACAAGCCAGTCAAGGCACGGTCACTGAGGTCCTTGGGAAGTGTGACCATGGCCTGAGTGTTAGAGGAGATTAAGGAATGACTGTGAATTTGGTGAGGTATCTAATGGCTAGTGGGTATGTAAGAAACCCCCAAAACCCAAACAGATTCCAACTCCTAGAACAGAGAAGAACTGCCACACGCAGTTTCCAAGGCTGTAAATCTTTACAGAAGCAGATTGTCACATTCTCTTCCTGTGGAGTGGCTGGTGGGTTTGAACCACTGACTTTCTGGTTATTAGTCAAGCGCTTAATCACTATGCCACCAAGGCTCCTTGGATATGTAAGAAAATGGCCTCAATTTTAGAGATACTATGGAAGTCTTCAGGGGTAAAATGCCAAGCTGGAAAAGATTTCCTTTAAAGTACCACATCAAAACAGTAACAAAAGCAGGGACGCTTGAAGCAACTATGGCAAAATCCTCCTGAATCCGGGGGACAGGTATGTGGAAGATCTTTGTACTATTTTTTCTACTTTGTGTAGGTGTGAAAACTCTCATAAAAGTTAAGGGTAAAGCAGTATGGCGATTCCTTCAAAAATTGGAATTAGAAATACCATTTGACCCAGCCATCCCATTACTAGGTATATACCCTTAAGAAGTGAAAGCCATGACAAGAATAGATATATGCACACCTATGTTCATCACAGCACTATTTACAATAGCCAAAACATGGAAACAACCTAGATGTCCATCAACTGAGGAATGGATAACCAAACTATGGTACATACACACAACGGAATACTATGCAATGCTAAAGAATAATGTAGAATCTGCAAAACACCGCATAACATGGATGAACTTGGAGGACATTATGCTGAGTGAAATAAGTCAATCACAAAAGGACAAATATTGTATTAGTCCGTTATTGTATAAAAGTTAAGGAAAGGTTTATCTATTGGAGGAAATTTTCTTTGTTGGTTACCAGGGGTGGGAGGGGAGGGGAGGGAACGCTGTTAGATAGAGAAAGATAAATATTGATTTGGGTGAAGAGAAGGGCAATGTACCAAATATGAGTGACCAATATGGCAGCACTGAGGATGAGAAAGACATAGAGAGGTACATGGGAAGTACAGACAACAAATATGAACCCTTTTGCATATACAGTACTGAGTAGTCAGTGAAGGCAAACATGGGTATATGGACAGATAGATAGGTGGACAGGCTAAACAATTAGGTATGTCTAAATGGGGAATGTATCCAAGATCATATATAGGGTTGGCAGACAATGGTCCTATAAGTTTATGTGAATGATCAGAATTCCCAGGTGTATAGTACAGCTGACAAGGGGCAAGGTTGTGGTCACTGCTTGGTCACAGCCAGCTACCCAGAGCGACCAAGTAGTTGAACCTGCGGGCTTGGGACCATAGTCGCAGGGGACATCAAGCTCAATCAGCATAAAATACTATACAAAACATTGTTCCACCTCCTACTTTTGCGAGTAGCAACTGGGATCTTAAAAGCTAGCATGCTGCCATCTAGATGCAACGATGGATGGGTCTCTCCTCATCAAGAAGAAAACCAAAATTAATGGGAACAATCAGTCCTAGCAACTGGTACACCATCCGATCTGCAACCTATACAACTAACTATGAGACCAGAAGAACTAGATGGTGCCCGGCTACCACTGTCATCCACTTGGAAGGGATGTAGGAGATCCTGCATAGAGAGGGAGAACAATGTGGAACAAAACTCAAAATCATTTGGAGGTAAAAAAAAAAAAGAAGGTGGGGACCAGGTTTGCTGGTCCAATAGAGCCCAGCAGAACAACTGAGACTATGGCCCCTAGCTGCCCTTCAGGTCTGGAATTGAACCCACACCTGTGGTTTCCAGCCAAACGAAGTACAGGCATGTGTGTTAAACATTTACCTCAAGTAGACACACGCCCTGGAGAGAACAATTATGGGAGAAGGAAGGGCTGCTTATACACAGGGAGACAGCTCAGGGGCAGCAGAGTATGGAGGGATGGACACTGGGAAGAGGTAACTATGGGGAGGAAGTGGGAGGGGAGCTATTGCATTGTGGGAGATTGTAGTCAGTGTCATGAGACAAAGTGTATGGGTATGTGAGCTGCTGTGTGGAAAGTAAACTCGCTCTGTAAACTTTCACCCAAATCACAATAAAAACTAAAAAAAAAAAGGCAAGACAAAAAGTGCATTACACAATTTGTAGGAAATGGGAACTCCTCATCTTAAGTGTACATGTAAGTATGACTATTTTTCTTAACTAAAGCCCAGGAATTACCAAAGTGCACAGGAAGCTATACAGACGATCTTGCTGCTCTCTGTGGATCAAAAGAGCAGATTTTATCTGGAATCTCTGTAAGCCAAGATCCCAGTGTTCTAAAAAGGAGGTTCCATCTAAGATCAGAGAAGCTCAATCAGTGTTTCAGGGCCAGGAACACCACTCCAACAGAAATGCAAGAGAGAGGGGGTTTAAAAATTAATACTGAAAGTGCCACAGACTGCCAGAAGAACTAACAAATCTGTCCTGGAAGGAGTGCAGCCAGAATGCTCCTTGGATGTGAGAATGGCCAGACTTCGTCTCACCTACTTTGGTCATATTATCAGAAGGGACCATTCTCTGGAGAAGGATATCATGCTTGGTAAAGTGGAGGGTCAACGAAAGAGGGGAAGGCCCTCAACAAGATCGACTGGCACAGCGGCCGCAACGATGGGCTCAGGTACAGCAGATAGTGAGGCTGGCACAGAACCAGGCAGTGTTTCGTTCTGTTGTACATGGGGTCTCTCTGAGTTGGAGGTGGCTCGGCGGCACCTAACAGCAACAACAAGCAGAAGATGAACATAAGCATGGCCCTGTGCTTCCTGCAGAGAGTTGGCTCAAGGGCATTTCCCCAGTGATAGAGGAAATCCCGCCCAAAGCATACCTGCTCTGGCTGTTAGCCTTCAGGATTACTAGAGAAAAGAGGCCTGCAGGGTGTGGCACTGTAATAGCTCTTAAAACACCTTTATAGGCGGCCTGTGATTCAGCCGCAGGATCCAGCCCTCGGCTCCGAGAAGCAGCCAGCCCAGTCGGCACACCAGCTCTAGTAGACCACTTGCCGGTTAGTGTCTTCAGTGTGGGGAAAGGGGGCCCTGCTGGCGCAGCGGTTAAGGTGCCCAACCTGAAAGGTTGTTGGTTCACCGCCACTAGCCGCTCTGTGGGAGAAAGATGTGGTAGCCTGCTTCTGTGAAGACTATAGCTTCAGAAACCCTATAGGGCAGTTCTTCTCTGTCTACAGATAGGTCACCGTGAATCAGAAGGGGCTTCGTGGCAATGGAGTTTAGTGTGGGGAAAAACGTATGTTTTGTTTCCTGATTCATATATTAAAAACCTGCTTCAATGAAAGCCAAAATATTCACAAAATGCAATTTTTCCCTAAGAGTAGTATTAATACGAATGAAGTTCATTTTTTATCAGATATCAAAATGCCAGGAAAGAACAGTGTCTAACAGTGCTTTTGATTCCTTTGTGTCTCGGGCTGAAAATATCTGATAAGCAACGAAGGTTTACAAAACAACTCCCTGAAAAAGAGAGGAGACCAGGTGTGAGGTGCCTTCTGTTACATGGTGCTCGTGCCCAAACCTGAGCCCCGGGCACGGGTGGTGGCGAGCCTCGCACTGCAGACCCTCTCACCATGGAGCCTGCTGTCAGCTACAGGACGCTGACCAAACCAAACCCAAAACGACTGCCACCGAGTTGATTCCGACCATTCGGAACTGAGGACAACTGCCCCACAGGCTTCTAAGGCTGTCGATCTTTCCAGATGGTCTCATCTTTCTCCCCCAGAATGGCTTGTAGGTTCAAACTGCCAACCTTTTGGTGAGCAGCCCATATCCTGACAAAAACAATTTCATTACTTTTCTTTTTAAAGGAATCATGAATTTGTGAAAAGCATGGTGATTCCCACAGGAGTCCCATCAGCCAGTGCCATCAAAAGCACTTGCATTAGGAAACTCCAACAGTCACAGAATCTTCGCATTTATAGCTGCTGAAAAACAAAACAAAACAAAACCATTGCCAGCAAGCCCATTCCAACTCATAGTGACCCTACAGGACAGGGCAGAGCTGCCTCACATAGGGTTTCCAAGGCTGTAATCATTACAGAAGCAGACTGCCACATCTTTCTCCCATGGAGAGGGCTGGTGCGTTTGAACTGCCAGCCTCTTGGTTAGCAGATGAATGCTTTAACCACTAATCCACCAGAGATTCTATGAAGCTGACAGGCACCGGGAAGTAGCCCCAAGCCTGCCGAGGTGAGTTCTGGCTGCTTCCGTCCTGTCTCACAGATGTGCTCCATCCTCTCAATCATATTGACTTCTGCTTGCAGTTCATCAAGTTCAATAAAAAATTCTAATGCAGAATTTAGAACCATCCTCTTCTTCTTGAGAAGATAAAAGGGGCCTACAACTCTCTCTCCTGCTGACACCTAAGTACAAGGGCTCATCTTTAGGTCAAGACCACAGGCACATGCCAGAGAGACTGTGGGGTGGTGCCAGACCACTACAATAGAGCAGGCACTGCCATGAAGGAAGCCATACCAATCTGTTGGTTTCCCAGTGCATATCAAACTTGTTTCCAGGACACTGAAATCCATTAAGTATGCAACAGCATTTTGGAAAAGTTTGAAATACTGTACAAATGACCACAATGTGACACAGAGACACAAGTGAGCACATGCTGTTGGAAAAATGGCACCGAAAGACTTGCTCAATGCAGGGTGGCCAGAGACCTTCAGTTTGCAAAAACGCAGTAAACCAAGGTATGCCTGTACAGACAAACGGCTAGGAAGAAAACGACGACGTCTGCTGCCACCTGAAACGGTATCTCCACAGGCTAAGATGACTCTCGGCCTTAGAGGGAGAGGGATGAGGGAGGGAAGGGTGGAAAGTACAAGGGAGGGAGGGAGGAAGGGGCGGGAGGAAAAGGAGGAGAGAGAATCACTGCTTGAACGAGGAAGGGAGTGCCATGCAGCAATCCAGTCAAGGCTTAAAAACACCATGACAATGAGATGGCCTGCCTGAAAACACTCTGCTGCGCCCTCTGCTGGAGATGCCTCCGCTGGCAATCCCAGTCTGTCTCCATGACCATTCCAAACCTCAGAGTCCAGAGCAGAGCGAGTGCCCTGACCACCAGGGAAGGTCCAATCGTCAGTGCCTGGGCTTCCTTCCCCTCTCACGACTGCGGAGAGGTGGAGCGCAGTGGGAGCACCTGAGGCGGCGGGCACTCAGCAGAGGTGAGCTGTGGGGACACAGCACGGTACGCAGGTACTCACGTCGATGGCGTCCCTCTCGAAGATGCGCAGCTGCAGGAAGAGCTCCAGCTTGATCTTGCGCTCCTGGAACAGCTCCTCCATCTGCGACTGGGCCTCGTCCAGCTGCTGCAGCACCGTCTCGATGTGGTTGATGGAGCTGTTGTGGGGGGTCTTGTTGCTGGAGATGGCTGAGTCCCTGTGGAGGCACAGGGGCGGGAGAAGAAGGGGAAGGGTTGAAGAGACAGACAGGAATCCAGGGAGAAAGTCTCACATTGTCAGATGGCCACGGCCAGATCCGGCAACACGAAGCTTGAGGGGAAGGACGCTGGCAGGAAGCAGGACTGCCTGCCTGAGAAAAGGGAAGCTGCTGCCCTCCAGGAAACAGTATTTGGCCCCTTCCCGAGTGACACCTCCAACTCTAACGACCCACTGCACAGCTCCTTTGGTAGCATCTCTTGTACTAGAGTCGAAGTCTGACAACTAAGTGAAATTTCTTCAGGAAAGTGGTATTTTTAGCCACTTTACCCCACCAGCAGGACAAACGACACCTGGTTATTAGAAACGAGAGGTTTTGGTGCTGAGAGGTTAAACGTCCATGCCATTACTGGAGCATTTGGTCAGTAACCCATGCCTGACTCTCTTCTAGCAAAACACGCATCAGGTAAGGCTACTGGTGACAAGTCAATGAACTGTCCTCTAAGGACACAATGGGGCAGATTAAAATGAACCAAACTGGTCCCTTGACCCTGAAAGAGGGATCTGCCTGAAAAGGAAACACAGGCAAAACCAGCTCTACTTGCTGGCCTTTTGGAGACAAGGGGTGCTGAGGGGTCAGGGTTACTCTGGGTCCAGACCTGCCTGAGTCTGAACTTCACAGCCTCACCAGGGAGCCGGCTCCCCACTGTCTACACACAGGCAGGTACTGCGGGCCTGGTGGGCACATCCTCCAAGGTTTAAATCCATCTAATGACACAGAAATTTCATTACTTACTAGGAAGGTTTGAGAGAAGAGGAAAGAGGGGGGAAAAAAAAAAAAAAAAAAACCAAGCTGAGTACTAGGGATGTTTATCAGTTAATAAGGGGCCCTGGTGGTACAACGGTTAAGGGCTAGCTGAAGGGTCAGTGGTTTGAACCCACAGCCACTCCACGGGAGAAAGATGTGGCAGTCTGCTTCTATAAAGATTTACAGCTTCAGAAACCTTATGGGGCACTTGTATCTGTCCCCTGGGGACACTGTGAATCAGAATTGACTGACAGCAGTGGGTTTGGTTTGTACTTTGCTTCTGAAAGATTTACAGCCTCAGAAATCCTATGGGGCAGTTTTACTCTGTCCTAGAGGGTCTCTTTGAGTTAGGATCGACTCAGTGGCAATGGGTTTGCTTTTCGGATTTTGTCGGTGCTGCAGTGAGAAAAAATATGGAGGCAAAGATAACTGAGCGAGGGAGAAAGGGCAGAAAAGGCAAAGAGCAACAGCAACAGGAGAAGCATGATGTCTCTCTGCTCTGCAGTCACAGCTGCCCGTTCCCCCACCTGGCCAGATGGAAAACTGAAGCAAACTGCTCAAAGCATGAATGAGGGAAGGGAAATCACTGGCTGGATTTCAAAAGGCCGGTGTGGAAACCAGGAGAGCGGCAGGCACCTACCTCAGCTGTTGGATGAGGTCCTCACCCTCCTTGATGACGTTGACGGTCACTTGCAGGGTAGTCTGCTGCTGTTGGCCGAAGCGCTTAATGAGGTCCTGCACGGCCTCCACCGACTCGGCATACACGTCGTCCAGCAGCTCCTTCTGCAGTTCCTCCAGCCAGGTCCACAGCTGGGGGGACAGGGTGGGGGTGCGGGATGAGGGGAGCCCCGGGGGGAGACGGCGTGTGAACACACGGCGAGGGAAGTGATGGCTGTGCCCCGAGAGAGGGAAGGAAGGAAGGGGGGAGGGTGGGCAAGCATCCCAAACAGTCCCACTGCCAGCGGAACACAAGCACACAAAGGCCGGGCCGCTCACGGTCAGAAAATAAACAGGCTGCAGCACTGGAGGGGACTGTCACAGAGCGAAAGGAAGGCGAAGGGAAGTCCCTCTTTCGGAAGGGGACTGCCACGGGGGAAAGGAAAGGAAAGGGAAGTTGTCTTCTGCTCCGTCCAGAGTGCCATGGGGATGAGAGAGGACCCCCAGCCCACAACAGAATCATGTGTCAAGCACGAAACAGGCACCTGGGTGAGCCTGTTCTTACTCTGACTCCGCACACGGAGACTTTTACTTCACTTTCAGCAACGGCACTACAACCCAGCCAGGAGGATCGAGCCACACCTCGTGGCGTGTGCTGTGTGTCCCTCTGGACAGGAGGCAGCTCATGGTGTGCTGGGGGAAGCTAGTCATGAAGCTTGATCATCAGAGATTCTGGGGTGGCCCCCCCATACCACGGCCAGCCAGTCCACAGTACAGTCCATCATCAAAAAGTCCGCCAACTGCAAAAACCTGCATGGCCATTAAAGATGTCGCCAGGGCTTTGATGGGTGAAGACAACTGAGAACAGCAACAGCTTAACTATTCAGGCCTGACAGAGCCAGCTGTCAGCATACACTGTCCACTTCCTGGAAGTAGTACGACGCCTTCGACCCCTGGGGCATCGTTCAGGGCTGAGAAAGATAACTGATCAAAGAGGAAGGGCCCTGGAGCTGGGAGCAGCCACTCCGAGTCCTCGGGGCTGGGAGGAGCACCTCCCGTTGTCTGCTCCCATCTCTCACAGCCATGCCTCGCTACAGTGAGACCAACTGCAGCCCATCCAAAGGGGTCCCCTCTGACACTCGACCCGGCAGTGGACAGCCTCCATGGCCAGTCCTTCACAACAACACTGCTCTCATTCAGTCTTGTGCTCCGATGCTAACCTTCTACTAAGCCACGTGTGTACGCCCATGGAAAGACCACCACTATCAAAGCTTCCTGCGCCCCACTGGAACCCCTCCCGTGTCCCCCAGGCAATCACTGAGCTGTCTTCTGTCACTGCCCATTAGCGAACCATTCCTGAAGCTCTCTGTAAGTGGACTCACACAGCAGGCACTGTTTTCCTGTCTGGCTCGTTTCACTCAGCATCACTGCAGGTTCACCCACACTGCTGCGGGCACCAAGAATCCATTCCTTTCACTGCTGAGTGTATCCCGCCGTGTGTATACACCACAATGTCTTTATCCATTGGACATCTGGGTTATTTCCAGCTTTGGGTCACGGCAGATAAAGTTCCTATAAACACTCCTGCACAAGTCTTTTCATGGACTTAGGATTTTGTTTCTCTGGGCAAATACCTACATGCAGGGAGGCTTGATCATATAAACCAAAAAACAAACAGGTGTTAATGAGTTGATTCCGACTCACAGTGACCCTATAGGGTGGAGTAGAATTGTCTCGTAGGGTTTCCAAAGCTGTAAATCTTCACAGAAGGAGACTGCCACATCTTACTCCCGTGGAGCGGTTGGTGGGTTCAAACCAGCGACTTTACGGTTAGCAGACAAGCACTTAACTATTTCACCATCAGAGTTCCTTGCTGGATCATATAGCAGACAGGTATTTAATCTTTCAAGAACCTGCCAAACTGTCTTCCAAAGTGGTTGTGCCATTTTACATTCGCAACAGCAGGACACAGAGTCCCAATTCCTTGGCACCCTTGCCAATCCCTGGTAAGGCTTGTCTTTCTCACCTGGGCCATTCTGAATGAGTGGCATCTCACTGTGGTGTTAGCCTGCAATTCTCTAATGACTAATGATGGCAAATGCAAGGGAACCTTTTCAGTTTTGCTGAACACAGCTTTACTTGAGAACGTTATCGACAACTTTTGCTTCTCTTAAATATCCATAGAGAATCTGACTTCCATGTTCGATCAAGAAAAGCTCAGACTATTTATGTTACACTATGGCTAGTTCACTGAGTAATAAACCTTCATGCCTGTTAGCAGGTCCTTAAGTACACGTCATACACAGTAGGCCAACGTACAAATAAACCTTCTGGCAGATGACTTCTCTTTCAATGAAGCTACTCAGTTTCCTAAGAGTTAAAAAGACTTTTGTTAATTTTTATCCCATTAATTATTCAATTCTGGGGTGTAAGTTACCACATTCCACATAAGAATGTTAGTAAAGTCTTAGAAGTAGGCTGGCTCCACGTTTTAATTTCAGAAATTAAGGGAACGAGGCCCCAGGTTGTGAAGTAACCTGCCTAAGATCACATCTCTGTGACCTAAGCCCCACTTCATTTCTCTGAGGTTCAGTGTGCGGGAACAGTGATCCTCAAGGAGTTACTGAAGGGCCAGCATGAAAAAGGGCGCCTGTCTGACAGCACCAAGAAGGGCAATGTTATGCAAATATTAACTACCCTAATTACCCCGATGGACTCAAATTAACTCAACAGTCAAGAGTTGCTGAAAGAAACCAGGTCTGTGCCAGTGAGGCTGGCAAGTGAACAATGAAGCCACAGAATGGGTATCTTTCCAAAACAAGGCTGTGAAAGTCTGACCAGGGAACAAGCCGTCCATGTTACACTACCTACAGGACAGGGCCACTGTGGACCATGGTAAGCAGAGGTTCCGTGGGCTTCTCCATGGCCTGCCTTCCTGCATGCCAGGGGGCAGGGGAGCCACAGCAGAGTCTGTCCTCTGCTCCTCTGGAGAGAAGCCCCTTCCGGTGGCGCTGGCCACTGTCCACTTCCTTCCTGTGACTCATCTCCTGAGACTGACATTTGCAAGAGGCTGGCCCTTTGTGCCTGTACTGCTGTGGCTGGGAAAGGAGAGAAAAACCCTCACTCTGCCTCTTCTCTCCAGATCTAACACTTCTCAGCCCTCTCTAAACACAGGCAAGAGGACAGGCCGTGTCCCTTGGTGTGCACTCAGGGGATAAGTGATGGACAGAGTCCACCTGGGCATCGCAGGGACACTGTCCTCCCTGGCTGCTGAGTGTCAGACTACGCTGCCTCGGTGTTTTATGCCCCAGTGTTCACCAGGACCGCGTGAGGTAACAAACATAGATCCAGAAAAGGTCCCAGCTTCTACTATGCTCTCCCAGTATCACTGCACATCTCTTCTGTCACTCTCAACACAAGTGCCTATGACAAGACAGGTAAAGGAGCAACAAACATACAAGGTGTGAAACCCAGGAGTGCATAAGCTCACTGCACTCTAACCAAGCCAGACCAGCTGCTGCAATGAGTGCCACCTCCCGGGGACCCCACGTGGCTCAGAGCAGCATTGTGCTCCATAAGGTTCAATGGCTGCGATCTTTGGGGAGTCGACTGCTAGGCCTTTCCTCAGACATGCCTCTGGGAGGATTCTGTCTGCCAACCTTTCAGTTAGCAGCTGAGAGCTTAACTGTTTGAGCCACCCAAGGACTCTGGACTGTAGGCAATGAGCATTATGGCCACTGAGGGCTGGAGCCCATGGTAGTCTCTGGCTTCCAGGACACACTGAAGAGCCAGGCGCCCTGACACAGGTGGAAATCAGTGCCTCTCCTTGACATTTGTGGAGAAGATAAAAACACAAGCTTTATAAAAGCCCATTAGAGAAACACAGCAAAACACCACAAAGTTAATGTTGACAGCTGGTAGAGAACCTGCACGTCCCGGATAGGACATTACAGGACATGTGAGAGCCCCTTAAACGAGGTGTGCCGACCCCCTCCTGCCCTTGTGCAAACAACACAGGTCAAGCCTCCCCAGTGTCACGGCTAGCCTCTCCCTGAAGCCCAGATGCCACGTGGTTCCTGCATGGGTGCCCGTGACGCTGTCTGAGATGCAGGCTATGTGGGCCCCTGCAGGCAGCGCGGCAGCCTACCCCCGACTCACGCACAGGGCCTAACTCAGGAGTCCGACTTGCACGGCAGGACAGGCAGGGGCACGCGGGCGGGTGTCTGCTAACCTCCTCTTCTCCAGGCCACACGACTGTAAACCCATGTAAACGACAAGACTCCCTTCTACACAGTGAGGAGGGGAGAGCTGAAGACTCCCTTCTACACAGTGAGGAGGGGAGAGCTGAAGACTCCCTTCTACACAGTGAGGAGGGGAGAGCTGAAGACTCCCTTCCACACAGTGAGGAGGGGAGAGCTGAGGAGGCACACTGGCTGGCACCTCCCGAGCCCCAAGGCCCAGGCGAGCTGCTCGACAGCCACTGCAGCAGCACACGAGTTCAAGTCACAATACAACACTTCCGACAGCTGATGCAGAGTGTGGTGAAGTCCCTGGCTTCAGAAGTGTGGCTGCATTTATGAGCATGTGACCTTGGGCAGGTCACTTACATGCTCCATGCCTCCACTGTCCCATCCATAAAATGAGTGTGGCAATTATGGCTACTGTAGATGGTTGCTGAGAACATTAAATAAGCTGCTACTAACGGAGTTGTTGTTGTTGTTGTTATTTGCCGTCGAGTCGACCCTGACTCATAGCGACCCCTCCTTGGGTTTCCGAGGCAGTATCACTACGGAAGTAGGATTGCCCAACCTTCCTTCCGAGGAGTGGCTGGTGGGTTTGAACTGCCAGCCTTCTGGGAGTGAAGGGGTAAATAAGGACTAGCCACTGTGATGAGGCACGTGTGGATCATAACATATGATGGATAGCACTGTGAGGAACGGGAATTCCAGAACACCTAACTGTGCTCATAAGGAGCCTGTACAGAGACCAAGAGGTTGTCATTTGAACAGAACAAGGGGATACTGCGTGGTTTAAAATCAGGAACAGTGTGCATCAGGGTTGTATCCTTTCACCATATTTACTCAATCTGTATGCTCAGCAAATGATCTGAGAAGCTAGAGTATATGAAGACGGATGCAGCCTCAGAATTGGAG